CTTCTAAAAATAAACAATAAAAACCTAGTTACCTCCCCACTGCAAGAATAAATAAATTAAATAACAATAATAAATTAATTTTAAAAAAAAGAAATATAAGAAACAAAAACAAAAGAAACACAAAAAAACACCAAGTTCATAGACATAAAGAACAGACTGGTGGTTGCCTGAGGGCAGGGGGTGGGGGATGGGTAAAATGGATGAAGAGTGTCAAAAAGTACAAACTTCCAGTTATAAAATAAATAAGTCATGGGGATGTAATGTATAGCATGGTGACTGTAGTTAATAATATTGTATTGCATATTTGAAAGTTGCTAAGAGAGTAAACCTTAAAATTTCTCATCACCAGAAAAAAATTTTGCAACTGTGTATGGTGATGGATGTTAACTAGACTTACTGTGGTGATCGTTTTGGAATATATACAAATATCAAATTATTATGTTGTATGCCTGAAAGTAATATACTATTATGTGCCAGTTATCCTTCAATAAAAAAAAAGTTTTTTTAAAAAGAAAAAAAGAACAACTTAAAGATAATAATGCTTTATCATCCTGTCACAAATTACAGGTTTACCTGTCAAGCACATTGTCTCAACACAACCTAAAGTAGACACAGAAACAGAGAGGGAAAAGGCAGCTTATGAATAGCACCAAAGAGAAAAAAAGAAAAGAAAAAGCATTAAGCCTTCAATAACAGTATTGGATACAGGAAAACTGAACAAACCCATGTCAGTACATTCATTTAAAGAAAACCCAAACCCTTTGTAATGCTAACATGTGACATGCAGTTACCAGATTGAGAAACAATAATTCAAAATAATAAATACGTATTTCTTTCAACACTGAACCCTTCTACGAATAGGAAATTAGTACCCCATGAATTATAATTTAAAGAGAACAATTAGCATGCTAAAATCCGCTAGGAGCATGTTTTAATCGTTAGGTATGTTCAATGTTTTTTTAAAACTTAAGGGGTAGAACAGCATAAATCACAAGAAAGAAGAAAAAAAATGTGAGTTGTATTTAAATGTCTTCACTTAAGAAAAATTTTGACCATAGATTCTGGATTTAAACAAATGTCACATTTAAAAAAATATGTTTTTAAATCACTTACTCTGGTTCTGGATTCTTTGGAGAAAGTCCCCATACTTCAGGAGCTCCCAATTCTCCAATCCTCTCTCTCTCACTTAATCTCCTAGAAGAGATAGGTAGGTAAATTATAACTCTGTGACTAAATTGATTCCTAAATATATAATAAAGTTCAAAGGAGTCCAGTTAAGTCCTAGTTTCCCTTTACATTTTAAAGTTTAAACTAATAAAAACTTGGTTTAAATGTAAACTCTACACTTAGGATCTGGTGTTCTGGTAGTTCTATCAAATGGTACATACAGACTATAGACAGCTGAGATGCCCGGCCAGAAATGCAGCCTGCGAGGCTGTCAAGTGCATCCCTTCTGCTGTACGCATGACACAGCTCCTAACTGCTCATTTCATCCCCTGCAATATGTGACAGAAACAGTTTTACATTTGGAAATAACTTCATTTGTTTATTTATACTTATATAAAAGTAAAGAGAAGTCTCTACTTTTGATTTAGTCAAACTTTGTTTTCAGAAATTCAAGAATTAATGAAGAAAAGAAAAATGAACATTAGAAGTAGACAATAAAGAGCACTCTGAAAATGAAAGAAAAGTTTTACTTGACAAAAACTGTACTTAACGAGATACAGGGTTTATTTTCTCTGTTTTCCCTTTAATTCCTTTTTGGAAAAGGAGTAAATTATCTACTCTTGGAAGACACAATTTTTTTTGTTTCATTTTATGTTTGTGATCTCTTCTTTTAACTTTTGATATTACTCATTAATAAAGCACAAAAAACTAAGGCCCAGTTCCTCAAAGTTTAGCTGGTGTGTCTCCATTTGTTTTTTTTAAAACCCTTACAAAATAAATACAATTGGTTTGATTTTTTGAATAAATTATTTTTTCTTCTTTATTCAGGAGAAAAGGTAAAATTATGCAGAGTCAGAGTCAGGTTTCCCACTTGAATTCACAGAAAATCTAAAAGGGGACATATTTAAAACCAAACCTGAAATATATTTAGACAGGAGGAAGAATGCCTGACAGGCTGTAAAGAGCAAGCAGTCAAGCTCTCATCCCTGCTGCCACCTGATTTTATCTGTACTCTTAAGATAAATTATCTTCTAAATATACAAATGCAAATTTGATCCAAGGAATTCTGACATCTTTTGGTGAGGAATGTCTAATAAGCTGGTTGCTTTCTGACTGACAGTTTGGGGTAACTTTCTGGAAATTTTAATTTGGAGAGGTAGGTCTCCAACTTACCTCAGGACTGTTTTTACAGTCTCTTCTCCCCACTGCCGCCCCAGGGCATAAAACCCTAATAGCTAACACTTAAGGACTATTTATTACGTCCCAGGTACTAAATCATTACAATTCTAAAAGATTTCATGCTAATTTTATCCTCTTTTAAGTGGTGAAGAAGTGAAACTCAGAGCAGTTAAGTAACTTGCCCAAGGTCACACAACTATTAAGTAGCAAAGCATGGCTTCAAACTCAGGCTGTCTGATTCCAGAGCCTGCCCTTTTCATCACTACGCTTTATTACCTCCCACTCCTGGAAGGAAAAGATTCATGAAGACATCTCCCGGCTGTTGGAACCTTAACCTGCCCCTCAATGCCCGCTATACTTTTTAATTTGTTTTTTTTAAACATACAGCACGGTAAAGCACTCAGTACAGTGCCTGACACACAACTTAATATTTAATAAGCATTACACAGTAAGACTTACAAAGCATGTGACAACCATACATGGAGTATAACCTTTAAAAATTGTGAATCACTATATTGTACAACTGTAACTTACATTGTACATCAACTATACTTCAATTTTAAAAAGTAAAAAAAAATTTTAAAGACTTACAAAGCAATAATTATAACCGTTTCCCTTCCTCCTTCTTAAACTATCCATTTTTCCACTCCAATACTGACTCTCATTAGAGGAGACCTGATCTCACCATGACCTCATTTTTCATGGTCAACACTGAGACCACTTTAACAAGATGTTTCTCGACGTACCCCCAACCTACAGTTTAGTAGATCACTTTTCCTACATGTATTCAAACATCTTGTTTCAGAGGTCTTCCTCCCCTCCAGTTTATACCTTTAATCTCAACCCTTCCCCAATCGGTACAAAACATTTCCACTTACCCTGTTATCTCAAACCTCTGATCATTCAACAAGCTATGGTAGCGCGCCTACAAAGTGCTAGGCACTATGAATTTTGTGATCAGTAAAACCGGGCTCCTCCTTTCCATGAGCTCAGTCTAGTGGGTAATAAAAATATGCTCACGAATGATAACAACACAACCAAGTAAATGCTATAATTCCGGTAGGTCTGAGGCTCTCGGCCATGTCCGCTACAAGCCAAGAGGCAGAAGCAGGTAGCGGAAGACCAGGGCACTAATGAAGGGGCTCGAGGATGAGTGAAAACCTAAGAATAGAAAACGGCGAATAAAGCGTTATCGTAGCTAGACTGAAGGACGGGATGAAAATGGGTGCAAGTCTGGGAGAGAGAGCGACATGGGAAGAGTAGGGAGCGGGATGAACAATAAACCTGACTCCGAAGGCTGGTGGGCTCGTGAAAGAGAAGATGCATTCGTCTCACTCACTTCTGCCGCAGGCTCTCCTCCCTCTCCTTGTCCAGGAGGCTAGGCCATGGCTTGTCGCTCCCGTAGGGGCGTGAGTAGCCGCCATAATAGGCGGATGAGGCAGAAGCGAAAGGGGCACCCCGCGGCGCCGAGGGCCGTTCTCGAGACCTTGACCGCGAGCGGGATCGGTAGGACTGGTTTCGGGAGCCTTGGCTGGGGCCACTCAGCTGATGGCTGAGGCCATTCCTGTCTCCGGACCGAGAGCAAGAGTGCGAGCGAGAGCGGCGGCCCCGCGGAGAGCGAGAGGATTTGCTAGGCTTCGGGCTCTTCGACGAACTGCGACGTTTCCCCCCGGAGCCCGAGGCCTCCCAGTCGGGGCTGCGGGAGCGAGACACCGGAGCCATCGCTGCCGCTGAGTGCCGAAGCCGTGGGAAAAGGGGGGCGCTCTCGCGAGCCTGGGAAGATCTCGGTTGCCTTGGCTCCCAGAAACAACCGCCACCACCCGAACCTGAGGAAACCTTGGAAACAGTCCGAGTGTACGGAACTGTTACGGTACGTCGGCAAATTCCTTCCCCGGACCTAGGTGGTCCCCCTGACGCCTGGACGGGATGTGTGTAGCCGTATAAAGAAGCCGGTAGGGCAACTGGATCCTGAATTCTTCCAGTTCCGAGTTAGGCTGCTAAAGTCTAAGCTTTACTGGAGACGTATTTTTTTCAGCCGTGGGTTGAAATACCTGAAGGAAAGAACGAATAAGTAACTAAGTAAGTAAATGAATAAATAAGTGTATGTGTATGTACGTAGGAGCGCGCGGGTGCGCGCGCGAACACACACATGTTTTTTCTTTCCAATTCCAAGCGAAATAAAGAGGGTTTGTCTAAATTCGTGGTGAGCTATGATGTGTAAGCCCCATATTTCCCAGTTAGCTTAGAGGGCATAAATTCTGTATTAATGACTTGAGTCTGATACATTCCAATTAGGTTTATAGCACAGAGAAAAACAGTATATTTATCCCCCAGCCACCCATTACCACCAATGTGCTCCAGCAAAATGAATTTATAACCCCCTCCTTGTCTAGCTCCTTAAACTAGTCCCATCATATGTGAGGCCAAAAAAAAAATGTTGCCTGCCATTCCAGTAAAAAAAAAAACGAATATTGCCTGCCATCAAGGAAGCCATCAGTCACTGTGGCCTTCTCCTCTCCCCCCTACCCCACCAAAGCTCCTGAGGGGAATCCAGGATGGAGAAAATAACAGGATACTGGTCCTAGATAGTTAAGATGCATATCTAAGGAATACTTTCAATAAGCCCAGACTTTGGCGTCTTCCCCTATAGGGAAAAGAACTAAAATCATTAACTTGAGATGTCTGTTTTTGTGATTAGCAGTAATCTTTTGATGTTCAACTGCATGTTTTGTTTTGTTTTTTCCTGTCTCCTCCCTTACCTCTTTGGAACAGTTCCTCAGAGCTGTCTGAGAGGCTGTCTCCTGAGTTCTAGTCCTAAGTAAGGTCCCAGAAGGAAACATAACTGACAACTTTTAGGTCTGCATTTTTCTTCAGTTGATAAATGCTAGCTTAGCAATATGTTGTTAATAGTCATTATTTCTATTCATTTTATGCTGTTTTTAAATGAAAGAACATTGAAACACTAATTCTACTGACTTTAATTTTTTTAATTTATTAAAAAATTTTTATTGAAGTATAGTTGATTTACAGTATTATATTAGTTGTAACTCATTGTGGTTTTGATTTGCATTTCTCTGATGATTATCAATGTTGAGCATCTCATGTGCCTTTTTGGCACATCTGTATGTATTCTTTGGAAAGATGTCTATTCAGGTCCTCTGCCCATTTAAAATTTGTTTTTTGTGGGGTAGGTAATTAGGTTTATTTTTTTATGGAGGTACTGTGAATTGAACCCAGGACCTTGTGCATGTTAAGTATGGACTCTGCCACTGAGTTATACCCTCCCCATCCTCTGCCCATTTTTAAATCAGGTTGCTCGTTTTTTTTTAATATTGAGTTGTATGAGCTGTTTATATATTTTGTATATTAACTCCTTATCAGCCATATCATTTGCAAATGTTTTCTTCCATTCAGTAGGTTGTCTTTTTGCTTTGTTGATGGTTTCCTTTCTACTGACCTTAATTTTTGAAGGTACAATGAGTTTGCTGTGGAAATTCTGAATTCAGTCTATCAGTAGCTAAATGGCCTCTGGGGCTTTCCTCTTAAGTAATCTATAACCATGAAAACTAATGCTATTGATTATTGGAAATTTTTGGGGGGGAATTTAGGGGAAAGATGTACAATATAACATTAAGTGGAAAAAGTGGACCACACTATTTGATATCTTCTATGTAAATACAGTTAGTCATGGAATGAGGACCAAGAACTGAATTGAGTAGGAGAAGTTATGTGATTTGGGATGAGGACTTAGGGAAATTCTTAATAAGTTTTCAGTGGAAAACCTATGCCTAACTTTTGTGACACCAGGCTGTGCACTTTCACATCAATTGCCTATAAAAGACAACTTTGCAGCAGTTTTTGGCCTATCTGCCCAATGGCTGGTAGGCATGCACTTTAGTTCCAATGAGAAAACCCCTACCCCTACACCTCTTCTTGCTCAGTTTCCTTGGAGCAGCTTGTGTTTCTTGAGTAGAAAGTGAGGGGGAACCAGAGCACACAGGCAGGTACAGGCAGTCTGTGGGGTCAGGTAGAGGCTGAGTCCTGTGGAAGCCCAGCCCAGCCAAGATATACACTCACACTGATTCATTCATTTGGGGGGGGGGCTGGGGAAGGTAATTAGGTTTATTTATTTGTTTGTTTATTTGTTTAAATGGCAGTACTGGGGATTGAACCCAGGACCTCATGCATGCTAAACACCCACTATACTGCTGAGCTATACCTTACCCCCTGCCTGATTCATTCCTTACAGGAGTTAAATCATTTGTGTGTTACGGACTATGAGGACATTCAGCTTCTATTAACTATTTCTCTTTGCAATCTGAGTTGCCTGGACAGGTTCGTGACTGCCACCCAGAGCACCAAGGCAGGGATCTGGGTTGTGGAAATGGGAGATGAGGTGGTGGGAGTTAGGGAGACTCTTTCATAGTCTATGTCTGTTTGAATTTGTAGGTGCTTTCCAATTATACCAATGATTGTTTAAGAAGTTCCAAGACTAGAGCAAAGTTTTTAATCACTAATCTGTTTTGAAAAGATTTACCAGCTCAAAATCTGAACTGCATACTTAAAAACATTTTTTTCTTCCCAAATACTTCTTAGTTGATACATACCTGTAGTCTCTAGTAACTCTTCTATGCTGCCAGCTTTGTCGGCCCCTCTAACACCTAGCTCTTCAGGATTTCTTCTCTGATAATGAATTGATGCTCCATTTTATAGGAAGGAATTTGATGGTATTAGGCCTCTAGATGTATGGAAAGTTTCTCAAACTCTTGGGTCAGCCAATATGAATTTCACACTGGAAAACTGTGCCATAAATGGACAATTATTTCTAATTTAACCTCACTGGGAAGAACTATGTCTGCCAATAGGTAGAAAAGTGGCTGGAGCTTGTGGGAGTGTTCTGTGATGGTCCAGATTACACAGGATGAAATGGAATGATGTGACCATTCCAGGATATATTTGAGCTAAAGATCGTGTGTGTGTGTGTGTGTGTGTGTGTGTGTGTGTGTGTGTGTCTGTGTGTGTAAAAGATAGAGGAAAGCATGAATAATGCACCGCACAGAGCATGACTTGGATGGAGAATTTGAGTGTTTTGCTGCCTACCAGGTCCTAGGGGAATAGGATGTTAGCCAACTTTGCTAGAGGCTGATGTTGAGTGTGGGGAAGCTCATCCTCAATGTCTGAGAGGGACAGAGGAAGCTCCAAACTTGGCAAATAACCCAGATTCCAAAGCACAACCAGTGGTTGTGGTGTCACAGATTCCAAATAAAATTAAACAACTATCAATTCACATCTAAGTGTGGAAGAGGAGAAAAGGGAAAGATGGTGGAACACAGTGGTAAGGAAGATACAGCCTTCCACTCCTGCATTGCTTAACTCTAATTAACTGACGTTCTTTATTTGTGGCATTTAAGGTATAAAACTTGTTGTGATGATATTAAAAGATAAATATGCTGCACATTTGCTGTTCCTTTAAGGGCAAATGTTAAATATGGAGCCATGATATTTGATTTTCTTGGGCTGCCTCTTTTCTTCCTCCTCCTTCTCCTCTACCTCCTTCCTCCTTCTTTTGCTTTAAAAATGAAAGAACAGGAGTTCCCCAGAATGCAGTTTTGCAAAAGTTAACCAACACCACAAGAAGTACTTTTATATCTATTATCAGATAAATTACACCGAGAAACTGAAAATTCAAAATAGGCACATCTTAAAAACATTGGATTCAAATGAGCGAAGATGCTAGCAATATTCATGCTTTGATCTTGTCTTGCTTTTAAAAAAATTAATAGACTATTTTTAAAAGCAGCTTTAAGTTTACAGAAAAATTGAGCAGAAAGTACAGAGAGTTCTCATATACTCCCTCTCCTCTCACCACTCCTGCCCCAGTTTCCCTTATTATTAACATTTTGCACTGGTACATTTTTTTATAATTGATGAACCACATTGATACATTATAATTAACAAAAATCTATAGTTTACATTACAGTTCACTTCTTTATGTTGTGATTTCTATGGATTTTGTCAAATGCTTAACGTCAAATGCTTATCTACCTTTACAGTATCATACAGAATCGTTTAAAAGCCCCCTTAAAAGCCTTAAAAGCCCTCTGTACTCCACCTATTCATTCTTCCTCTCCTGCCCTCTAACTCCTGGCAACCTCTGAAATTTTTACTGTCCATACAGTTGTACCTTTTCCAGAATTCATATAGTTGGACTCAGACTGACTTCTTCCAGTTAGCAATATGTAGTTAAAGTTCCTCCATGTCTTTTTCATGGCTTGATAGCTCATTTCTTTTTATTGCTGAATAATATACCATCATATGGATATATCATACTTTATCTCCTTACCTATTGAAGGATATCTTGGTTGCTTCCAGGTTTTGGTGATTATGAATAAAACTACTATAAACATTCAACTGCAACTTCTTGTGTAGACATAAATTGTCGACTTATTTGAGTAAATATCTAGGGGTGGGGTTGTTGGATCATATGATAAGAGTATGTTTGGTTTTATAAGAAACTGCCAAATTGCCTTCCAATATGGCACCATTTTGCATTCCCACCAGCAATGAATGAGGGTTCCTGTTGCTCTACATCCTTGTCAGCATTTGGTGGTGTCAGTGGTTTGGATTTTAACCATTCTAATCGGTATGTACTGAAATTTTGTTTTACTCTTCAATTTCAAAATTACTGATGATGTTGAGCATCTTTTCATATGCTTATTTGCTAACTTTATATCTTCTTTGGTGAGGTTTCTGATCAAATATTTTGCCCACTTTTAAATTGGGTTGTTTGTTTCTTTACTGTAGAGATTTAAGCACTCTTTGTGTTTTGTAGATACAAGTCTTTTATCACATATGTGTTTTGCAAATATTTT